AAAAAAAAAAAAAAAAAAAAACTGCATCTAACTACAATGCTTTTCGGAGTTGAAAATCATCCAGTCGGGTGAATGGAGATTTGAGGTTCTTAAAGCCGGTAAAGGTTGTTCCATAGACTTGCATGCTCGTACTAGTTATTGTAGAGAACGACAACTATCTAAGATCTTCTACAAGCAAGCATGTGCTTGTATTGATTGTAAGTCAATGTCCGATCTATGTGCGTCATGGACATGCATGTTGTACCATGTTTTTTCAATCTTCTAGGTGTAAAGGATCTTTTATATTTTGGTCATGTGTCTTTTGTAAGTATATGTTTAAGATGTTAGAATATTTTTTTGATGGCACATTATCAACTATTTTGAGTATGTAATATATGGATATTCTGCAAGTTCGTACAAAGCATGAAGTTGACCTTGAAATGAATTTTACAAATGATGTTTGATTTGTACATCCTTTTGCAATATGTACAAGCAGTTCTTTTTCATTCAATAATGTTGATTACTAAATATTGTTGCATTAATACTCAGAAACGTTGAATCTGCTACTAAATATTATTGCACGAGTACTAGTAAACGACGAACCTGCCACCGTCCTTTTGCAATACCAATATCGATTTACTAAACTTATAATAATGTACAAAAGTAATTCTTATTCGTTTAACAAAGTGGGTACTAAAACTATTGCATGAGTACTAGAAAATGTCGAACCCGGTACTATCCTTTTACATACAAGTATTGGTTAAAATTATAAGTGGTACAAGTTATTCTTGTTCTTTCAATAAAGTTGGTACTGTTGATGGTAGACATCAACCACAATAAAAAGCGACTTAATAGCATAACTATAGGGATTAACAATAACGGTTTTAAGCATTTATGAGGAAATTAATGTGTTAGTGACATTCAAACTAATGTTGAAATGAATACAGGGATCGCCGATAAGAGATTGACACAAAGAAAGACACAATAAGTGTTTATTAAAACGAAAGATTTCTTCTTATAATTTTGATGTTTCCCTTGTTATGAACGTCAAGAGCTAAAATTATGCGCATAAAAACTAGGCAAGAAATTATGACTATAAGCCAATTAAGGGTGTGGGGCGATGACACGTCCCTTTGCAGAACTCGCCTTTTGATGATGGGACCGATTGGACGGTCACTTTATCAGTTTTGCTTTGTCAATTGTCTACACAGTAGAGAGGTAAAAAATCTTCATAGAGTAGGAACCGGAATAGATTGGCACCCATGTTTGAATGTGGGTCGGTACAACACTGGTAGTATGGCTTCTTGGGATATTTTTTTTTTTACAATTTAGGTCCATTTAGAGGGATGCCAAATTTTGTTGATGTATTTAAAACGTAGTGGGTCGATCTCTTCTTCAGATGATGTCACTTCCCCAGGTAGATATAGGACTTGAACTTCACTAGGGATCGATACATGGAGTGACGAAGGAAAAAGGTTCAGTATGATTATCGATCCTCCTGCTAATAAATGACTTCGACCGTATGTGGTTGTTTTCATAACTATTTATTTATTTGTCTGAGTGTGGCCTTAAGACATTGTTTTTAGTACCGCTTTTGGGTTGTTGGTTTTAGGCCAAGTATGGCTTCTGGAATATTCATTTTATGTTTTGGCTGAAAAAGGTCGGTTTGAGTATGGACAAAGGTTTTGTTTTATAGTTTTTATGTTTTCTATGAAGTAATTTTCTGAGGAGTACTTGTCGATCTTTAAATTGGAAAGTTATTTCGAAAGTTATTATTTTTGTAATGAACTGGCCCGACCTGGAAACGGCGGTCCACCGAACAGGCCTGGAATTGCCGATTCGCCGAATCGGCCCCTGCATATGCTCAGGCTAGTTAAGGGCCAACCAACTCTTGGCCTAGACCTGGAGTTTCTGACCCAGAAACATATTTGGCCATGTCTACTCCGGTCTTTCTTCGTTACATCGCAACATCCATTTTCATTTTTCTCGAGTCCCCACACAATTTTATTTCCTTTCCTCTGCACTCAATACTCACACAAATTTATTTAACTTTTCCATAACAATTAAGAAATGCAAAATCATATCTTTCAACAATACAACACAAAACTTTATCAACTTTCTATATTTTTTTTATTTATCATCTTTCACCTTCGTCATTTCTTTCCTCCTCTTTCTTCTCTGGTTTTTTTCTAATGTTTTTTTTGGTGATTTTCGACAACTTTCCGCGAAAGATGGACGCAATGAACTCCATCAGAAGACGGGCGAGACGAACTCCGGCAGAAGACTAACGCAATGAACACCGGCAAAAGACAGACGTGACGAACGGCGATGAAGGATGGACACGACGAATTGCAGCAAAAGATGGACACGACGAACTCTGACGAAAGACGGACGTGATGAACTCTGACGATATCATGATCTGTCGAACATGCCGAAAGACAAAAGCGACCAACTTTGAAGAACTCTCAACAGATAAACTTGCATGACCATCTCCGAAAGAGTCCCATCCCGCCTTTTCCATACGAACTTAGATTGCCACTCTCTATGAAATCTCCCAGCGTCTTACGCAAAGTTTTTTTCTGTTTTAAATCAGTGAGTTTTTGTTCTCTATATATTCCCGAAAAGAGGGTGTCAGTGATTGTTGGTTGTTCTTATCTACCAACTATACTTAGTGAATATAACAGGTTGAGTCCATTGACTTAACCCAACCGGTAGTTAAACCCAAGAGAGAAGCCTTATCCCACAAGCAGACGGATATATAAATGCCAGAAGCTACGCAGGAACGGGCAAAATGACTGAGGTAATAAGGTGGCTTAGCTTACAAATGAACTGATGATATATCTTTTCTTTATATTTATCCACAAAGACATAATAACTAGTATGAGTTTACCTAAAAAAAGCAACTAGAACGAGTTCGATGAAGGGCTGAGCCTCACCTGCTCGAGAACCGGAACCTAAAACTAGTTAGATAAAACTTATCAGCTTCATTTTCCCTCTCACTTTAGCTCGAGCTATTTCATACTTAACGAACGAAGCGAAGCGAAGTGAAGTCATAGAAGCCGAGACTTTCACTTTCTTGTTCAATTTCACCATCTCGTCCGTCATTGATCTGGGAATCCAAAGATTGGTTGGCTCGGGGAATCACCAAATAAAGGTGAGAAAGCCCCCTACAGATATTCAACTTGACCAAGAAGCCTTGAACCCAGTCGTTATGCCAGCATCCACTCACATCTCCCAAAGGCCGATTTGGTTATGCCAATTGCTCTTGTATGAAAATACTATCGATGCATGCATATGGTACCCATTTGTGGATAATGTAGTACCTATTTTATTTGTATTGAATACTAATTTTTGTTGAAAGGCTTGAAGTTTATTTATCCAACTTATTTTCTAACCACGATGCACGATCGGCGTGAGGGGATGTCTCCGTTTGCTAGTGAGTTGTGTCATGTGATTGAAAGTAAAATAAAATTGCATCTAACTATCGTGCTTTTCAGCGTTTAAAATCATCCAGTCAGGTGAATAGATATTTAGGGTTCTTAAACCTGACAAAAGTTGTGCCATGGTCTTGCTTGCCCGTACTAGTTATTGTAGAGAATGACAACTATCTAAAATGTTATACAAGCAAACATGTGCTTGTAATGGTTGTAAGTCAATGTACCATTGGCATGAATTTTTAAATGTTGTTTGATTTGTACATCCTTTTGCAATATGTACAAGATTATTTTTTTTTCATTAAATAAAGTTGGTTACTAAATACTATTGCATGAGTACTCAGAAACATTGAATCTAGTACTGTTATTTTGCCATATCATTATCAATTTTGTAAGTTATAATACGTAATTATTTTATGTTCAACAAAGTTAGTCTTAAATATTATTGCATGAGTACTAGTAAACGACGAACCTAGCAATATCCTTTTGCAATACCAATATCTATTTACTAAACTTATAATAATGTACATGTAATTCTTATTCGTTCAACAAATTGGGTACTAAATACTATTGCATGAGTAATAGAAAATATCGAACTCGGTATTATCCTTTTGAAATACCAGCATTGGTTAAAATTATAAGTGGTGCAAGTTATTCTTCTTTGTTCAACAAAGTTGGTATGGTTGATGGTAGACATCAATCACAATAAGGACGAGTTACTAGAATAATCATGGGAATTAGAAATAACGGTTTTCAACATTTATGGGGAGATTAATGTGTTTGTGACATTCAAAGTTCAAAATAATGTTGAAATGAATAAAGAGATCACTGATAAGAGATCGACAAAAAGAAATACACAACAAGTATTTATTAAAATGAGAGATTTCCTCTTATAATTTTGATGTTGCCCTTGTTATGAACCTTAAGAGCTAAATTTATACACAAAAAGTAGACAAGAAATTATGACTATAATCCATCTAAGGGTGTGGGGAGATGACATGCGTCTCCTTGCAGAACTCGCCTTTTGATGAGGGACCGACTGGACGGTCACTTTATCAGCTTTGCTTTGTTAGTTCTTGTCTGTAGAGAGATAAAAAAATCTTCATAGAGAAGGAATCGAAACAAATTGGCGCCCATGTTTGAATGTGGATCGGTATGACTCTATTGTATGGCTTTTTGGGATATTCTTTTTGACAATTTAGGTCCATTTAGAGGCATGCCTAATTTTGTTGATGCATTTCAAACGTAGTGGGTCGGTCTCTTCTTCATATGATGTCACTCCTCCAAGTAGAGATAGGACTTGAACTTCACAAGGAATCGATACAGGAAGTGACGAAAGAAGGTTCAGTATGATTGTCGATCCTCCTGCTAACAAATGATTTCGACCATATGTGGTTGTTTTAATAACTATTTACTTATTTGTCCGAGTGTGGCCTTAAGACACTGTTTTTAGTATCGCTTTTGGGTTGTTGATATTAGGCCAAGTATGGCTTCTGGAATATTCATTTTATGTTTTGGCTTAAAAAGGCCGATTTGAGTATGGACGATGGTTTTGTTTTATAGTTTTGATGTTTTTTATGAGGAAATTTTCTTAGGATTACTTGTTGATCTTTAAATTGGAAAGACATTATTTTAGATTTGTTTAGGGCGACCTTTAGGGTGTGTATGTATACAAATTTTCTTAATCCATATTTAATTCATACTCAAAATCTAACCCAACTTTAGCACAATTTCCCTATTCTCAATATAGTTAAATAATATCAACCAATCATTCTTACACATTAAATCAACTTTAATTTACTATTCATCAACTCAGATAATTTTAACTAACTATCACTTTATATCATCTCTCTCCTACTTTTACATCAAATCAATTTTAATTATTTTATTTTAAATATTATTTCAGTATTACATCAAAATTCCACTAACAACTAACTATACATCTTTTTTTAAAAATTAACTATGGTTAACAAAAGGAAAAAAAAAACCTCAGTTTGGATATATTTGTATACAAATACGCTCGTGTTTGTATATAAAAAATCACAATTTGCATTCAATTCATATTCAAAATCTAATTCAACTTTAACTCAACTACACTATCCTCAATTTTATCAATATAATCAAATAAAACAAATAATTCTTACACATTACATCAACTTTAATTTACTATTTATCTACTCACATAATTTTAACTAATCATCGTTTCACATCATGTCTCTCCTAATTTTATATCACATCAATAATAATTATTTTAATACAAAATCAAAATCTCACTAACAGTTAAACATAACACTTTTTTTTTTCAAAATTTAGATTGGTTAACTAAGAAAAACTTATTTTGAGAAGATATATTTGTATGCAAACACGCTCTTAGGGTTCATGGATTTTGGGGGAAAAGCTCATAATTTTTTTATTCTTAATAAAAATAACAACTATTAATGACGTAATAGATAAATTGTAAAATAATGATTAATAATATCGATATGCGGGTATATGAATAACAATATATATGTGTATATGTTTATATATGCATATAGAATTGATTTATTTTTATTTTAGAAATTATAATAAAAATGTGAATGAAATAAAATAAATCAAGTAAAGTGTTTGAATGAAATTGAGTGAAATTGGACATATATCATCCATTTGTTCCAACGTGAAAAGAACACAAACAACACAAAAAGTAATAGAACAAAATAGGAATTGTCGCCATTACTACTTTTATATTTCATAAATTTGTAGTTATTATTAATATAAGATGCTTAATTTTATAATTCTCAATTACTTCTTTAAATGACTCTAAAAAGATAATTGATTAGCACATATTTTCACCACTATGAATATTGTTTTAGGGAAATGTTACAGTCCTGTTACGGGACCATTACGTTGAGAGTTGTAACCGTTAGATCATCATATAATCATCGTGTATAATTGATTTAGCGTTTAAGAAAATTATTCCGTAACGGGACTGTAAAATCTCCTATTATTTTATGCAACTAAAACAACCTACTCAATTCACCTAACCTCATGAATAAACTAATATTTCACGTTTAAGGCACTTATTTCTTTTCTTAAAAAAAAAAAATATTCCCCCCTTTCATAAATAGATTAAAGTCGAATATTTCTAGTCTTAAAGTACAATAATGAGATGAGATATTAGCGCAATTTATGAAAAGAAACTATTGGGTGAGACATGTAATAAGATATAAATTAAAGTCTAAAATTGCAAAAAGGCAAACTAACCGCTTGAAAAGAATCGCGCTCCTCTCCGCCAAATTAGGGTTCTTTACATTCCACTCAAAGACACCTTTGCCTTTCCCTCCTTCACTCTCTTCATCAGTCATCTCTCTTTCCAATTGTAAGCTTTCTTGTTGTTAAGTTCATGGTTCAGTTCTTGGCCATAGTGATTTTTTTTGGGCCATTTATAGTTTATATTCTTCAATTTTCAAATTTAGATTTGAATTTGTTGTTGTTTCTATTATGGGTTTTTTCTGATTTTCTGAAAGTTTGAATTTTTGTCCAATATATGTATTGTTTGGTATGTGGGGTAGAGTTTAATTGTTAGCTGCAATAATTGACTATTTATTGAATTTCTTCTGTTTCAACCTGATAAAAGATCTTCATTGTGCTTTCCTTTTCTACGGGAAAAAAAAAAAAAGAATTCCATAATTGCCTCATATGTAGCTTATTGTGCTCTGGTGTTCTATATTTGTCCTCAGTATCCACAGGATTATAGTTAATTTGAAAATGTATGCCCTCGATAACGATAAGTCTTACGAGATCGATTTTGTGGAGTGGTCGGGTTTTCTTAGTTTCTCTAGTCAGAAGGATTATTATTTTCTCTCATGGATGTTTGTCATATGTATGTTATATAGCTGTGTATGAATTCAAATTGAACTTTATACCTGTTTTCAGGACCTGGTTGTACAGTTATTTTTAGCATTTTACTTTGAACAAGACTAAGTGTGATGAGAGTGTATGCAAAATTTAGTAATCAATGGCTTTTCTGAGGTGAAAGAAGATGGTGCTTGCTGATTTCTGTGCTTATTTCTTTAAAGCAGGCACATTATCAATTTGCCTAAGCTTCTCGTTCTGTAGTCGAGCCTAGTTGAGAGAGATTTTGCAATTTAGCTCAATTGATCGACATTAACGAAAGACTGGACTTTTCAGAAGCAATGGATTAATGGCAATCTTTTCCTATTTTATGGTTGGCTGAAGTGGAAAAAGGTTTTGGTGTGTAGAAAATCTTTTTCCCGGTTTATGTGAAAGATAGCTAAAACGGGGTCCCTTTGTTGTGTGGCTGCAAGGCCACATGCATCCAACACGGCCAGCCGGGACTGGTCTGTGGGACCACACGAGCCTTACTGGAGGACCAATTCGAGCTATTCTCCTCCACCATCGAGATGGGATTTTTCATTTCAGCCGGAATCACTCTCGTTTGGGTCAAGCGATGGCATTCAATTGTATGGTTCATCTGCATCGTCAAATAGCCGAGATAGTCGAGGATGGGTTAGAGGAAATAATTACCTGAGTGGTCATCAGTTTCTGGTATCTGATGGTATTGGGCCGTATTTAAGCAGTCTTGATGTGTCACCAGCCCAGCAATGGACTCCCCCTGCTATACAAGAAATCAGCATGGATGATTATGGTAATTCAAGTAGAGGTAATGAAAAATATGAACTATTTTTTCTGCCTTTGAAGTTGTTGCTTCATGTGTGTGTATTTTATTCCATGTTTCCTTCTGATATGTTGACATGGGGCTCGTACATGGCTGAAATTGATTCCTTTAACTTAGTTCTACTTCTAGCTAGGGTTCTTTGTCGTTCTCCTGCGGAGCCTTCGATTCCTACTTAAAGATGGTCTATCGATTTGAATTACTAGCACCGGGTTCACTGCTTCTACCGGAAGCAAAGCTTTGTAGAAGCTTATCGCATTTGGATGCCCTTTTTTGGTGGTTGTGCACTCTATGTTTTTCATTTCCCTCCTTTAATTTGTTTGTTTGTTTGTCCTGTTACGAGTGGTTATAATGGATTTTTGAAACCGTTTGGTGCTTTTTGATGTAATGTTGATATAATCCCCTCCAGTGCAAGATTAGTAGTGTAACAACTACTTACATCTTTGTATCTGAATTTCCTATATTCCCATTTACAGGGTGCTAACATTCCTTTCAAATTCCTTTTTCTCAGATGTGGTTTTGAGACCGCTATATTTCTCACCAACCATGGAGGTACCATATCTTTCATCAATCCGTATTCTGACAGTAATTTTTACGACGGTTTAAATTACAGAACCTCCTCTGAGGTTTAGCAATTTACACGAACTTAAAAAAAAAAACCCATAATCTCTAAAAAAATTCAAAACTTCCTCTTTTCAAAAATGTTTTTTTTTTTTTTTTT